TTTACTTTCATATTTTTTATTAAATATTAAAATTTTGCTGAGAAAATAAGAAGGAAACTTAAGCATAGAAATTAATGCAACTTATAGCACTTAATAGAATTTTAAACCGACATAGTTAACTAACAAAGACCATTAATAAATCATATTTTATAAGTTTTTACAGGTCTTTTTCATAAAAGTATAATCTATTAAGTTGCATTTAATTTTCTATGCTTGATTTCCTTCTTATTTTTTCAGCAAAAATTATTAGTTTTAAAAAAAATGTAAAAGTAAAATTATCCTTCCTTACATCACTTGCGCTCACACAAATCATTATGGGAATATCCATTACAGTTTTAAAGCCTGAAAAAAGCATGTCTGCGATGTTATCTCATGCATGATTTGTAGATACTTTATTTTTCCACGATATTTTCGACGGCGATGTTTTAACTGCGAAGGTTTTGACCTTTATTTTCGACGACGATGTTTTGTACACGATGTTTTAGAACTGCGATGTTTTCTCTTTTTCTCCCACGATGTTTTGTAGCACGACGTTTTCGGCTTGCATTGTTTTCTCCGCGACGTTTTCGTCCGCGATGTTTTCGGCTGTAACCCGATTAACCGTATTGGTAGAGGAGTGGTGCCCACGTCCTCCGTCGCATCTCGCATGCTGCATTATATTTTAGTATTAAACAGTGAAATAATAATATCAATGGTACTTTTATTAAAACAGATTAATTATTTCTCCTTTATTTCTTAATATAAAAGTTCGTTCGGTATTAATCCTTTTGGTATAAGTCGAAAGATCTGGAACTGTTGAATGACGTATACCGATGTAAACTGTTACAGTAAACGGATGGAGGAAGCATATAAAATTTCATATTTGGTAATTTTTACATAATTGAATTTTTTTAAATTTAAAAATGCCTTAATATAAATATTTGCATAATTGAAACTTTTTTTAACTGGAAATGTATGTCTACGATCAACAGTTACAAAACTAAAGTATATATCAACAGTTACAAAACTAAAGTATCCAGGTAAGGAAATTTGTGAACACGATGTACATACAGCAAAAATAAGAGAAAGAATGTTTTTAAAATCTTTGATTACCCATAGACGGGCAGCTATACAACAAGAATAATTTTTATGATGCTAAGTCCAACAGCACTAGCCAGAATCTCTTAACATTTTATTCCCTCCTAAAAGTTAAGTTGTCAATTCTTTAGAAGCTGAGATATGCAGTCTGCAAAATAATGGCCTTTCTTTAAGGTCACATAAATCCTGGGGAAAAAATGTCAGTATTATAGTGGAGCCAAAAATTGATTCATGAAAATCCTTCATGTACCTTTTTGACGTTGCCAAGAATAAGGATCAGAATGTTGGGAAATTATTAGCTTAATCGAAAACGTGCGAGAAATTATAATAACTCACCCAGAGAAATTCTTTTTTCCCTCAATTCCTATGTGTAATTATGATATAATTCTTTTAATAGTTTTTCTTTCCTGAACTGCTGCACTTATTTTAATTTTGGTAATGGACTTGAGATAATAACATTATTAATGCAAAATGTTTTGGAATTTTGACATTGAAAAGGTTTTTCTTAGCTTAATGAAATGCATTAAACTGGATGGAATTATTTTTGGCTCTTGTTGATACACGTAAAAGAAATTCATTTATGTTTAGGTATAGTGCAGAATTAATTATATGTTACTTCGCTTAGTTAAATCAAAGGTTCCGTTTATTTATTTTAACATACCCAGTTTTCTTGTTAGTCATGATCTGTAGTTTACTTCAGATGTATGTTTCAGAAACTGAGGCATTGAAACAATATTTGTTATTTATATTAACAAGATGACATTTCAAGAAAATGACATGAATTATCCTAAATCTACGTGAATTAGCCTATATCTTAAACGTCGTTAAAATTCTGTTTTTGTAATCCATGTCTGTATTCTAAGCTTCGGTGTATTTTTCTTTCAGTCTTAATCGTTTTTTAGTTTTACACAAAAAAATATCAGCATTTGAAATATAAGACTAAGCATTTGAAATTAATTTGAAATATAAGGTTGATTGCATTTAAAGCAATCAACCAGAAAAATATTTAAGATTTTCAAAGCTACTATTTTTTGTAAGAACAGCTTATTTTGGGGTATGGTGAATTGGATCAAATCTGCTGTAAGATAAGAACAGTAGTTTAAAGCAGCAGTGATAACAGCATTGAAAAATGTTAAACTCAGACTTGAATTGAAAAGTGCATATGTTTATAGTAATAAATAATATTCTGAGTCATTCTGTTAAGTTATAAATAGCCCTGCCCCATTAATTAATAGTTTTAATTTTGAAATATAAATACTTTAGAAACTTCAAAATCAACCTTTTCTGTTTTTTGCATCACGTTACGTTATGTTACAAGAAGCTATGAAACACGTGCATTATTAACACACAGGGTCTAACGAAACCTTCAAATCTCAGAGCACACGAACAATAGTGATTAAAAAGCATAACATATACCCTTTTTAATGATATTATTACAGTTAATAAAAGATGTTTATACTTTTATATAGCTACAAAAGATTTTAAATTATACAAAAGGTAAATTATAGAAGTTTTTTTAGCTTGACTTTTTTTAAAGATAAGACCACTCTGAGAGCAGGGAATCATTATTTTTGTTATTTTGAAAACTGTAAGAGTAGGCTGTTCTTATATCAGGTCTAACAAATCATAATTTACTTTATCCCTTGGCTACTGGGGGCCGGAGTTAAGAGATGAATGGCAAATAAGCAGTATAAATCCTTATTATACTTTACCCTATTCCTTTACAGCAAATTAATTTAGTACGCTGTTGATTTGTTTTATCTGATATTTCTATCATAAAAATAAATTTTATTAGAAGGGGTTTTTTAAAGTAAATATAATTCGAAGTGGATTCCACAATATAAAATAAGTCCTTAACGTTCTGTAAACCATGATAATAAAGATAAGTTATTTGTTATGCAATTGTTTAATGAACCCTTAGCTAGTTTTTAATCATCTGCCTTTATTACATTGCGACGGTGACTGGTGACTGTGCGCATTTTGTACCTTTGTAATGTTGTCAATAGGTTTAGCTTATTTTTCTCACCATGTGCTCTTATTACGATGGTGTCGGCTTTTTTTTAAATTCCCACCTTCCCAGCATACTTCTTCAAAACAAATTGACGATTGATTACCTTAGCTTCTTTTACTCACATTATATGTCTTTATTAAATTATTTAAAAGCTTATTTTTTATCATTATATAATCTTATTGTACTGTCAATGCAATGAAATGAATTCCTAACATTAGTTCAACTGTAAAATTATTTTCAATCAAGTATTGATGCTATTTCTTGCAAGCAAAAATTACTATAATTAGAAATATCTGTCTTGAACTATATGTTAACTATTAGAGTGATCTCTAAGTGACCGACCTTATAAAAGACACATTTTCATCTTTTAAATTTTGATAACTTCTGTCCTATGGTCTAACTATTTGCTAATTAGAATACATATTTAATAATTTATCCTACTAAGTAAGTCCTTACCAAATCATTTCAAAAGACACTAGCACACCAATAGATAATAACTAAACATTAGAATTTGAGCTATATTTTATCTACAAGACAAACCACGATAACAGAAATAGAACTTCTGTTGACTATACAATAACAAAATACAATAAGTCATTCGATTCTTGGAAATATAAAACACTGAATATACTGGAAGTAGGAGATAAATAATACGACCGAATTTTTTCATCAGTACACATTTTAAATTGCAATCAAGAACTGCAAAGTAAGGAAATCACTTAATCGAGAGGCCTTCGTACCAATGCATTGTTACAAAAGTGCCGGTACCTTTGTGCAAAGCGGTCAGTGTTCGCCAAGAAAAAAAGTAAGTCGAAAAATTAATCCAATATAAAAATGCTCTCTCTGTTTTGAAATGTTTAACTTAAAAAGTAATTTCCATAAAGGTATATGTCTATCATAGAGGTGTCACTTCCTTTATGATAGGCAGCGTCATACAGCGTCCCGTTCACTCCTTAATACCACTCGATTATATTCAGGTTATGTTCCATTTCAGGCTTTGTCAGGTGAAACGTATTTGAAAATCGGCCCATTTCAGCCTCTCTAAACAGGGATACAAAAGGTATCCCTTTTAGGCTTTCATTGAAGGTCACCTCTTATTCTAAAGGCCACTGAGCTTTGATAACTGAAGTATGTACAAAATGATATCATAACGACGCTTCATCTCTTGAACTCATTTAGACAATGTTTATATACAACCTTAATGTCACTGCTGGACAATGCTTAATAAAGTATAAAAAATAAAGAGTTTTTTTATTAGGGTTAAAATATTTTGAGAATGTAAATGAAAGAGAAAAATGGGAATACTGGGCTAGTATTAAATCTACAAAACTCATGAATATGGTAATTGATACTGATACCACATATTAAACACATTATATATATATAATGTGTTTTTATTTTATGATAAATATAGATTTTATAAAAATATAGTAATATATAATAAAAATCTATATTTATCATAAAATAATATTCATTATTTAATAGTCAATTTTACATTATTTATTATTTTTTAAACTGTGAGCTTCATCATAGAGATCTGTCTCGCATTATATTGCACTCAAAAATGTTTAACACGTACTCAATGCCGATTTTTCTAGCTATTTTGCATAGTCTTCAAAAATTAAGAGTGTATAATTTTTAAAATAAGAAAGATATATATGTGTTTAATCTGAAAGAAGCTATCTAATAGCTTAAACTATAACATGCTAAAATCTTCTCATCAGGTTCAGATAGAAAAATGATCTTTGGAACAATAAATTTCAGAAAAACTCTGTTAAACACCTATTGATTTCAAACTTTATTTTTAATTTAGCGTCATTTATCTCTTATACAATTTAATATTTTGGTTTTATCATCAACATATTTCAATATGTAACTTCTATTAACATACACTTTTGCTATATTTTTTTAGGTCTTTGAAATGCATCTGGCGGGATTTGAGCTGTGGGTTCTGAATCCAGCATTTGCAGTTCACAGAGGTGTGCAAAACAAAAGAGGCCGAGGTGCTTGGAGAGAACGACAAAATATTATCAACCGAAAGCAGTTCACGCGTTTTAAGCACGAAATGGCAGTTAAATACCGATCGCAAACGAAAAACCGATCCTGAGCAAGCCGACCAAGAAGCCGAACTGAATTCAAGATACCTAAAATTATTTATTTTCATAGAGAATTTTTCTTATCGTGACATTTCATTTCATAATTGGATATATTTATTCTTAATTATTTTTAACATGGAACTATGAGATATTTAAGGCATATAATTTATTTAAATATGTAACTATTCCTAGTCAGTGCTGGCGAACCTGTGAGAAGTATATCAATAGTGATATATGATAATCTATTACATAAGTCTTACAATTTGATATTGACGTACAAGAGCATCCGAAATCATCGGTTGTCTCTGTCATCTACTGTTCAAACTAGCTTTTACATTTCTGCAGCTAATAATTAAATTGAATTATTTTATTGTTATCAAATGTGATGCTGACCAAAATTCTGCAGATAGTTCCGCCATTTGCAATTCATGTAAGTCGAGTATTGGAATAATACGTATTCAGAACTCACCTGTCTTTAGGTATACTAAGCAGTTTGTTGTTACATGGAACAGCTTTTAAGTTGCAGCGGTGTATTGTGCTGTCTATTATATATTTTAATCGTTCTTTTTTAGATAAATTTTCTACGAATAAAAAACAATTTATGCATCAAAATTTGCTTAGAATTTGGTGAAATTCCGCAAGTTCTGTGGCAGTACAACAAGAGTGTTTTATATAGCTCGATCAAAGAACACAAGGTAAGCCAGAAAATGGTGACGAGATCTAGATCGTCACCGTTTTCTGTTCATCATGAGACCGTTTTTCAGACTCATGATGAAACCATACCTACTCATTACACTGGTTGTTCACTCCTTCCCTATTTTCCGATAATTTCTAACAACCACGCCCTAACTGAGAAAAAGATGTTTCAGTGTGTGGGATCGTTAAATGGCTTCTCTACCTGAATAATGTATTGGCCCAACAGGCTAAGAGCATCCATCAATTTTTGGAAGAAAACAACATGTACTTTCATTCCTTTGGATCTGGACTTTGCAGATTTCTTATCTTTTGCCATATCCAGAATTTTTTTGTTTTTTTTTTCAAATGTAAAAGTATTGTTCAACAGTCCGAAAATGACCTTCCAAAGAACATACCGCTAGTGTAAAAATCTTTGAGGATATATACGTAGGAGGGAATACGTTAGTTTGATAGCAGCCACCAAGATCTAAATTGAGTTATTTAGTTTCAAGGGCATTAATTCAGAAAATGCTGGATAGCAACTCGCATTAATGGTTATACCAAATACACTATATTTTTTTCATACCAGTTCAAATTACTATCAAAATTGCGAATATGCTTCCATTTAATCATTTAAGCCAAAATATCAGGTTTCATATTGTATCCTCTATCAAAAACCACTGATTTCTCTTTTACTTTTTTCTCTCTTTTGCATAGCTGTAGTTTTCCTGTTGTTCATTTAGTATGCTGTAAGAACATAGTTTAGATCTTTTCCATTAATTACTATTATCTCTGAGTTTGTTTTATTCGTACCTGATTTTTATAATTGTTTGAAACTTCAGTACATGATATGTAACACAATTTAATATCATTGCAAGAAATTTGTTTCCTCTTTGTATATGTTACTAACTTTGTCAATATATTACGTTATTTAATGTTCTTTGGTGAACTAGAAATCATTCTATTGATTTGAATATTACCAAACCAAAGCGTGAAATAAATCATTTGCATAATAAAACAATTTTTATCAGTATACAGAGTCTATATAAATAAAGCTGATTATGACTCAATATAAAATGCTTTGTTGTTCCGAACGTTATTAAAAGAATGTGTAAGGAAGTACTGCAGGTTTTTGAAAAAGGAGTACTAGCTATTGAGTTATATTAGGCATTTTCCAATTGTTTGACATGCCAATCTACAAGGTTCGTCGTCACTATACTAGGATGACTTTCTTTGGTTTTTGTACAAAATTTTCTAGCCTTTCTGTATAATAAATTAATGCATATGTTGAAAGAACTAATCGCTGAACATGTATGTAAAAGTAGATAATAGAGTATTTTATTTCATGTCTATTTGATTTTCTTATTGCTGTTATCATTTACTCCGAATATTTAATTTTAACTGAGCCCAGAGATGATTTAGCTAGCTGAAATTTCCAAAAGGAAATTTTTTATAATTATTGTTAAAATTAGAAAAAAATAATTACATATTTTACATTAAATGACCGTTAAAAGAAGTTGATTTATTGACTTTATTAGTTTAGTACAGCAACATTACTTCTCAAAATTGCTTTTAAAAACTGATACATTTCTTTCGTTAAGAGAATTTCAAAGAAGCGGTTGTGATATTCAAACAAACAAAAAGTTCTGAATTGAAATGCTTAACCTTACAATCTTATTTAGAAATTTTTAATCAACCGCTAAAATGTCTTTAAAATTTTCTAAAATCCTTTACATGTAAAGGATATATTAAGTGCCATCTTTAGTAAATTCATAAGCCGTCATTATTTCATTGCAAAGAAATTCAAGTTCAATAACAATAAATTTGTAATTTCTTGTAAGTAGAGCTTAACATAAATTTTGTCTTGTAAATTTAAAGTGTTTGTTGAATGATAAAGTGAAATCCAAATGACGTTTGTGCTATTCTTAAAAAAATGATGTTCAAAAATACATCAAAATATTTCTTAAAAACACTTCGTCAGCTATGCACAAATTTGAAATAAAAAACAGCCTTTGATTAGTTGATATCCATTTAATATTCCCTAGATAATTCTAATATCAATTAGATGAAGTAAATTAATCACTATTCTACGGAACTAAACTGAAATTAATAATCTAAGTACTTCCATAATACTTTAAGAAGCAAATGTCAGGACAAACTTTTGTTAAGTGACTTAAAAATATCATTGTCGTTAATAACATACAAAAAATTTACATTGTTTTTCGACACATATTAATCTTCTCCGGGTTGCCTTTCAATATTTAGAGATTACTGCACTATTTATTTTCAGATTACTTTCTGTTTTCTTTATTACCATATTGAAAGATATTTTATATTTCAAATTTTCGTATCTCACAATTATATTTATTAATTTAAATAAATATAATTGAAATTGTAATTTTTAAGTAAGCCATGCTTATTTACTTAAAAGCATGGCTTACTTGAAAACTATTATACTTTGTAAAGAATGTTGTAATTAATCAATAAAGTATACAAGTGATCAATAATTTTCATGAAAATTATTATTTACAAGTTATAAAATATTATTTACGATCTTATTAAGACATTTGAAAGAAAGTATAAAGAAAAGAAAAACTCGAAAAATATTCGAATAAATAAATGCTAACACATTAAAAGTTTTATAACGAAACTTTCAATGTTATTGAGGATAATTAATGAATTACATGAAATTTGAGAGAAAATCACTTAAACCATTTAACAACTGTCACATAAATTCCAAATTTTAAATAATGCACATCAAAAAGCAAATATCTGAGCTGTGCAATTTATAACTTGTGCTATTCCGAAAAAGCAACTGTTCATTATTTCATTCATGTTAACTTTCCTTATAAACTTTGGAAATAATATTATACAAGAAATACCTAATATTAAAATTAAATAAGCCTTACTAATTATCGTTTATTACTGAAATTTCGTAATCCAAGACAACTACGACAAATTTTTAAAAAAAGTAAGTTTTGAAAGACGTTGTATAACATTGCTCTAATAGAAATAGATTATTATGTTCTATATAACTAAAACCCTCATAAACCATATTCTTCTCTTTTTTTCCTTATTGAGAAGTTGTTTTACTGGTAGTCCGGTCGAGGTTCGAATCCCGCGAACGGGCTGGCTGCATGGGTGTTTTCGAGGTTTTCCTCATGTGTAACATGTATACGAGCCAGTTTCCCTTAAAACGTCCTGCACGAAGGCATCCCTCCCCTTAGGCCGATAGCCTTCGAGGTTTTGCCGTGATTAAATAACCTAACCTAACCTGAGAAATTATTTTACTTATTACGTGATCTACTGCAATAATAGTGATGTTACATATAGTAGCGAAAATGTTAGTCTTCTAATATAAACCTCTCGACATAAAATTGCCTAAAAACTCTTTCTTAACCAAAAGTTGTTTTTATACCTTAAGATGAGGGACTTGCGGGCGATAGCTCTCGAAATTAATGGAGGTTTATAAAATTGTCTGTAACTCATTAACTAGCATAGGCGTTGACATAAGAGCTGCAAAGCAAATTATAATTCCTATACTAGTTAGTTTTCTAGAAATAGCGATAATAATTAAAAAAAACAAAAAATATTCATTATTAAATTGCTATAACTACTTACTTAAATTGCTAACCTGCAGCCATCAGAAATAATAGACATTAAATAAACGACTTAACGTAATTTTAAGTCATGGGCTCAAAGCAAGCAATTCTCTAATTAATGTAATAAGTCTGGGAAAATGCAACACTCCCCGAATTCTGCATAGGCTCGGAATTATACACTTATGAAATCTTTTATATCCCAAGGATTCATAATAGAGAACTGCACTAATAAAAACTTGGCGGCAGTTGTTCAACTTAATTTTGTTAATTTTACTAGCTCTCTGCGTCTTCTTACTCTCACTGCCTGTCCAAATAGCCACGTTTAAAATTTGCATACTTGTGACTGTACCTAAATCTGAATTATTTCTTAAGGAGATTAATGTTCAGACAAAAAGAGAGGTTTATTTGAAACTCAAATTGTTGCTGAAAATATTATTATAAACCTCGCAATATTTTCATCTCTTTGACTCAAAGTGAGAACTGATCCATATGTAGAGAAGCGTGCTAAAATTTCTCTTCGTCCAGTTTGTAGACAAACATCTTAGTCATCCAGATATTCGTCCATTACATTCTTTTTGTAGATTCGATTTCTGAGGGATGAGAAGATCCTAATCGGTGCTAGGAAATATATGGCAATCATATTTTTTATAATTGAATTTTCGGTAATCAAGATATTTCTTAAAAACGTGTTAAGTAAGTGCAATAGTAAAGACTTACCGGACAGACAAGGGAAGGGATTTCAATCTGTTACAGTAACGTAACTGAAATACATCAGTTAACAAGGCACATTATAATGAAAAAAGATGCGTTTCAGTAACTTGCAATGTAATTAATACTTGTAATTACTTGGAGTATAACCCATAGTATTTCCATTCGATTCATCAATGTTTCTTATTGGAAAGGCACAGCAATTTTTGTCGATCATATTTTGTGTTTATTTTAACAATATGCGGCGAGACATTTTTTAAATTTCTGCTATGAAAGCAAGGATAACGTAAGAACTTCCAGTTTATGTAAAAACATAAATAAATAAAACTCGCCTATGACGTCAATGACGCAGTGATACGTTGCCCTTTTGTGTACACAGCGATTCTGGATTTGAGCCCCAAATTAAACAACCACACTTAAAACTGTAATGTAAACAGGCTACATTTGTAGGTTAGATAAAGTTCGACAAAACCTATATGAGCTGAGAGTTATAAGATAAAAGCTTCTAAGTGCTAGCTCAGCTGCTATCAAAGCATTAATTTAAATGTGTAAAATAACTGTGAGAAAATTCAGATAGTGAGATACTCCCCCCCTTTTTTTTACGGATATTTGTATATATATTGTAGCAAATAAAATATCTACAGTAACTATATTAAAATAGACTTTTTTTATAGGCAACGCAAAATCTGATTAAAAGGTGTTTAACAAAGTAATGTGTGTTTCTATGCTATAATGTAATCTATAGGTACCCAAATGTGAAAATCTGGATTCTTTTAAGTTTCATTATCTGAAAACAGATATATTCAATGTAAACTTATATGCGCAGAATCTGGTATAATTTATCTGATATTATATTTGTACATATCTGTTGTTAATAAATTATAAAGATTGCTGAAGTGCTGTTATTTAATGTATGCATTTTACAAACTTACGCGCAATTACCCTAATTAAATTCTAAGAACTGAAACTTAGCCTTTTTTTCCGCTGTTAAAATTTCACACATTTCTAATATTTTCTTCACCCCTTTTTTCCCCTGTTAGAGACTTTTAAAAAACATTAGATTAATGTAAATAGTTTTATGAACGTTTAAAAGTTTAGGGCCCACCAACGGCTGAGTGGTAAAGGTCGCTGCTGAATACTGGTAGTTCGTTCCGGGTTTCGAGTCTCGGAGAACGGCCACATAGACGTTTTCGAGGTTTTACCATCTGTAATATGTATGCAGTCCTATTTCCATAGTCTTTCACGACAGTCTCTCTTCTGTTAGGCATATAGCCCTCTTTTACGTTGCCATAATTAAATGAAACAAAACGAAACGAAATTTAAAAGTTTTCACAAACATGTATTTCATCCTTCTCTATGCTAAACCTCGTTTCAAAGGTAATTTTTTTTACATCAATGTAGTGCGTTGCAACCGTTTCCTTTTTGTTAAATGCTTCCCTAATATAACTTTGTAGAATATACTAAGTGATTACAATATGACAAGGGTTGATTTTTTGTACCATAACATTTAGCGTGAATGAAAGTCACCCTGCAACGCACTCCCCTCTAGAATCGATACATTTTTGCCAACGTACTGGAAACACTTTTATATCATTTTCTTAGAAGTTTTTCAGCTGGTTGTGAATCCATTTTCAAACAATGATAAATGGTGACGATTGCATAACAGCATGCATTCCAAATGGGATTTAAACCTGAGACTTGGGATTGAACTATTTAGCTCACTTTCATTGATGTCCACTATAGACTTCCAGAAGGTATCTCCTTCAACTTCCGTGGATCTTCTTTCCCATAGGAGAGAACTGGCGGTTTGCATACGCATTATTGTAATATGTAGATATGGAATAGCAACAGTCCCGTTCGTATTTGAATCCCCTGGTAAAGGGCAGTGCAAAAACGAAATAGTTGCAACATTCTGCATAGCATTTCATTGTAACATTCTACAAAAGCATTTCACTGGAAAAACATTTGAATTTTTTAGAACGTTCTCAGATTTATCTTTAGTACACCTCGTAATATTACTAAGGCACAAATCTACCATAAACAAAAAAATCGATTATGTTGATCCTGAAATAATGACAAATTTCGCAAAATTTTTTTGAAAGATTAGCTTAAGAATATTAAAAGAGCATATTAAGTTATTATCTCCTTAGCTACCTATGATTTTCATATCTGCGATGCTTGTAACCAGTTTCTAATGCAATAAATTCATAACTACTTGAGTAGCTCGGTACATATCAAACAAAAGTACATTTTGATTTCGAATAAATCAGTCATTACTAAAATGATCTGTATTTGAACTTGACAATTTACCCATGAATATTATAAGAGCGAACTGTCCTCAAATACCTGAAGTAAACGAATCCATGGAATGAAGATGCTTCGGGAGGGGGCAGGAAAAAAAAATGAGTAAGGAGTGGGAGCTACTTTTAGAATAACATTTTAGATTTAAAATTTACTTCTTCTTTTTGCCCCAATAACCCACTGAAAGCAACAAATAAAAGACAAAAATAAGCAACAATATCAATTTTTTGTGCCGAAAGTTAAAAGAAAAAATAATATTTCTATTAATCGAAGTACTGCATAGTGTCAAAAAAGAAAATAACTACATTTCATATATGAACTTTTATTTGCTCGTAGCTACTCGATATTAATTATTATTAACCCGTACAAAGGTTGTCGATAAATTATTATTTCTGAGAATATCCTAAACAATACTAGAAAGTTTTGTAATACATATTTAAAATAGAATGGATTAGATGTACCTTGGTCAAGTTACACTATGATTCCTATTATCAGCTCCTGCGGAAGGAAAATATTAAAGAAGAGCAACAATTGGAATAGAAGAACAATAAGCAACACTCAGAGCAACCATAAAAATTAGTTGAATTGCGGCCGTTTATTTTAACTGCAGGAGGTCAGTTCGCTAGCCAAGAAAAGAACTTTATTACAGATATCGTTGATTAGCAGAAAAAGTGGCGAACACGTGCTAACTGCATAATATTTCAATTTCCATGGACAAAGTGTTCTTTACCCCCTTTTCTTGCAGTTTAACAGGAAGAAAACTGATCAAATGAAATATTTGTACTCGCAGCGTGACATCGGTAAGGAAGTTCAAATGTGAGACTTGTCCTGAGTGTCATATTCATAGAACCGCCATTGCGTAAAACTGACATTGCATAGTATTAGCATTGCGTAGAACAGACTCAGCGCCGGACCGACACCGGCAAGCAAATGACAGAATAAAATATAAATTTTCATAACGATGTAATATTGAGTAAGAAAATTAATGCAAATTTGTCCCCTTCACAAAGTTGTCGCAGGCACTGGTTCCACACTATGGAAGGTAGACATCGGCATTAATAAGTAACAGAATATGAAAATTTGTCACTTTCACAAAGTTGTAACAGGCATTTATACTGTGGATGTATACTATGGAAGGTCGATATCGGTATTGCATTGACACGGCGTAAGAACAACAGCGGCATTTAATGGGAATTGCATTATTGACAAGGATAATAATTAGAACAGCACACAATCAAGAGGAAAGTAGATCAAATTATTATTGTTAGTGGGATGTGAAAATGATTGAGATCGGCATAATACAAACACCAATATAAAACGGACTCTAGCATAGTGTCGGAATCTGTTTTTAACTGCCTCGTCGATCCTGAGTCTTTGGAGTAACTATCGACTTTATGCAGAATTTACTCAACAATGATCCTATATTAATTTAGAAGAAAATCAGCGTTATATTTTCAAATTTTCACAGGAGTATTTTCGACGGTTTTACCGAACCATCATCCTCAGCTGCAAAAGCGCAAATGAACGAGATAAGATATAGTGATTAGATAAAATAAGATAAGAAAGACTGGACAGGAGTTAAGCCACTGGCACCATCTGTTGATGAAACGAGAACTAAAAGATAATTTCCTTAAAGGCTGAAGGCAAAGATGACTTGGAATTAGGATTGTTAACTAGAACAGAAATATCTTTAAGTGAAATGCCTCTAGAAAATCTAATTCACCGATGGAAAATGTTTTTTGAATAATTTTGGTTTCAGAAAAATTGAAAGTGTGATTTTCGGACCAACAATGATGGGCAACAGAAGACTTCTGTGTTTCCGTTTTTCTAACATATGCCTTATGTTCCTTAATGCGAAAATTTAAGGCTCTCTAGTTTGACCAGTGTAAATTAAACCACACTGGAATCCTGTAAGGATCCACAAGGAATCTTCTAAATACCCCAGGGATTCATATCCGGAATGGGGTTCTTGAGCATGAAACTCGGAATTTTATCAATAATAGAATAAACAAACCGAAAGTTAAGTTTTTTTAAAATGCGTGCAATTGTTTAGCTAAATGACGGAAAGAAGGGAATAACAACAGAATTCTTATAATCTCCTAAAACAAGAGTGTGCCGTTTGGTGTGTTGAGATGAGAATTTTTTAACAGCTCGATTAATAATGTTGGGCGAAAAGACCCTGTCAATAGCTACTGCTTTTAAATAATTTAGTTGTACATCAAGAGAGAGTTTGGAGGAGTAAACTTGAAGTGCACAGAAAACATAGGAATAAAATGAAGCTAACTTTTCTTTAGTCGGATGACATGATTTGAAGTGTGGTGGAAGGCAATCCAAAGAAGGTTTACGGTAAACTGTAGTACTGAAGTCGGATGTGTTACGTGTTACCAAAATGTCGAGGAATAGAAGAGAAATTTGTTGCTTGACTTCTAAATTAGCGCTTGTTTGGCGTGTTATTGTATCTTAATGATCCTATACTTTGCTCTAATGTATAAGACCTGTATTTCAGTACTGAAATGACATAGACGACTTCGAGAATATCGAGAATGCAAGTAAAGTACCGTATTTACTCGCGTAGTTTCCTTCCTGTAATGTTCTGAAATTTAAAAAAATCTTTTACGTAATTTTCCTCTTCCTCAATATTTTTGGAAAGTGGGCTGTCCTAAATTTTAAAACGTATTCGTCCGTATAGTGTTTGATTTTGTCTTACTAATTGATTTGGTCATAGAATTTGTGTATGTGAAGCAATAATAGTCAAGAGCTTCAAAAAACGGATGCTCTTGTTAGTTTTGAAAGGTCATTGTACGTAGGAAAATAGACTCAATTTTTTTAAGCTTCCATTACTTTTCTAGAGCTTTCGTATACTTTTCCATAACAAGCACAAAAATATCCATACGTTTTCACTGCAGTTCATTTATGTAATAGCTGTTCACGTGCCTATAAAATGTGGCAGAATTCTCCATTTTCACTGTCGGTTCCATTATTATCTGAGAGAATCTCTATAGCTTATATGCAGTAAGTTCAAACTTAAGAGTCATGTACCTTTAATAACTAAACCTGCAGTACATAAGGATCTCACAATCAGCGAGAAAAGTCTAAAAACAAGTATTTCAGAATACGGAAGTATCACTGTTACAGTAGTTTCATTCAGATTCAAATAAAACTGTTGTACACTTTCGTATTTAATTATTACCACATTCGGTTTATTCTGGCAGTTTATTGCCTTATATATTCAGTTCTTTCACGGATATGATAAAAGTATATGGTGGCAACTATTACACGAAAGGCTTAGCTTTTAAACCGTTGAAGAAGACTAAGCAAATTTCATATCCTTAGTTATATCTCTCAAGTGATTCATTAAACTTGGCCTGATCTATTGACAGGTTTCAGTTTGGTTTGGGGACGCTTGCGTAAAGGCACAGGATGGTTGGAGCTCTTGCTTGAATTTGATCGCACATGCTGACTTGCTGAAGCGATGTCTTTGTTGCTATTTTTCCGCTGCCTCATTTGAAGATATTTATTTCTGAAAAGAAGTAAAGTAATAATAAGATGAATTGTTAGTTTGTACGCAGGGATAAGATACCAATATATTTTATCGTGATGAAATTCTGAAATAATTAATTACTGGATTAAAGAATATCCTTTCTCTATGTGAAGTATTTTCATTGGTGTGTTACAAAATACTTTCGTATTTAATTATAATATATAGCTAACCCTAAATTAGACGTGTCCTACCAGCTACCAACGGCCTCAAAAGCCCAATAATGCGACGTACGTCATAAAGGCAAGAGTAGAGTGCATAAGGCTTAGATTTCCAATATGAGAATTGGTTAGACGATTTTAAAAGCATATTGACTATTCGCTTTAATAACCATGAGTCTTTAAAGCCAAATGCAACTAACAAGAGATGTACGGAGAATAATAAAATTCGAATCTAAATTAAAATTTAGAACCTTACATTAAAAGCAACAATTTAACTCACTCTTGAATTCTTTCTGTGCATAGCGAAAAGTATGCAGCGTTTATTGACATATTATTAGAGGATTTTCAGCGAAGATTTTTAAATTTCGAATAGCACCAACTGCTGCCGGTATTTCTGTTACTTTATTCTCAGTTAATGTCCAACTTGCAAATTATTGAATTAAAATTGTAAGGTATTTTCTTTATCCTCAACACCTGCCTTCTTGGTATAATTGGAAGCACGACCACCTGGCAGTCGGAAATTTTGGAGTTCGAACCTCAGCGAGGGTTTCGTTCATTTTTGTTTCTTTCTCTGATAAATACCTAATGACTCTACAAAATAAAAAAAGAGAAATTTGTGTAATGGACCTTTTACAAGTTACACCTACTTCAGTAAGAATTTCATATTTCTCTGTAAACGTTTCCTATTCAAAAACGCCTCTCTTTGGAAAAGTGGGGGGCAGCATCTATATTTTTAGTACCTTTTTTCCATGCAAAGCATATGTAAAGTAACGAGAAATTCAACCACAGAATGCATAAATGTAAAGAGCTTTTTGAATTCCGTTTTGGTTCTTCAGATGACTGCTGACATTCACCATACAGCACTACAAATAGTTAGGAGGGTAATGGGGGAAGAGTCTTGTTAATAGTTGTTTAAGTCCAAGGATTAGATTAAGGAAATTCAAGTAGTAATTATGGACATCTTAATAAAAACGGAGGGGGGGAGTTTAAAAAGGAAGAAAAACTTTAAGGAGTAAAATCGGGAGGGGGGGAACAGAGATGCTTTTGCACTCCTTGCATTCTTAATCTGGTGCAAAAAATACAACCCAATCTTCAGAATGAAATGGGGGGCTGAGCGAGCAGGGATGTCAGAGGGATTTTACAGATTTGCAAGTGGAGGTATCGGCGGAAGTCAAAGGGAATCAAATCGTCAAAGGGAAGGGACATTTGGAGATGAAAGACATTTGGGGGAACCAACATACCTACACAATGAAGTTCTTTAAAAATATTTGTAAGCATATGAGCATATATCATTTTAATCTTAAAAATTTAATCATTTTAATCTTGAGCAGTATCATTTTAATCTTGAATATCTTGAATATATCATTTTAATCTTGAGCAGTATCATTTTAATCTTGAAAATTTAATCGGATTTTGTAAAATAAGTTACATATTGAGTTTTAGTTCAATAGCTAAATATTAAAATTCAGTTACACAGTATGTTAAATCTTCATCATGCATTTTCATTGTTTAAGCTATTTTTCAATATACTGATAACGACCTAAAACTAATATAAGAAATGGTTAAAGAAGAAAAGTAAGTAACGCTTGTTAGAAATAATTTAAAACAAGAAATATGGAATTTGATTCTACCACAGAGGACAAAACTAAACGCACACATTAGAACGCATAAATTTGTGCGTAGTATTTAATGTTATGAAAATAACTAAAGATTCCGTAAATTAAAAAAAAATGAATAAATTACGAATTAACGAAGTTACACAAATTAGTATTCAAATGTAAAATTATGGATGCCTTCCATTAAACCAGTATACATTTTAGAATTCAGTTTTATATATATAACAAAACACAAAGTAGTAATTTAATCTTATTACAAACATTGGCTCACAGATATAGTCGAAAACGGAAAGCAAAGGTAAAAGGCAATTCTTGTTAATAAGCTTCACTTTATTAAATAACTTACTTAATCATTCAGTCAAAGCATACTGGTATGACCCGCGTGAAGCGAGAGGGCGCTAAGAGCGTCATTGCGTGTGTTCAGATAGTTGGATGAAAGATGAGACGTAGTGATAATGTGAGATTTCTAAGTTTCTGATATTATTATATTTAATTAAATCAATTTATATTTTATTGATTGTTGATTTATTGAAATTTGATGTAATATTATGATTACTGAATCACCACATTATTGAAAGCTGAATAACCACTGAATCTCCAAACCACTGATGCGCATTTAGTGCATCGGCCGGGAATCGAACCCGGGGGTGCCCGCGTAGCAGACGAGCATTCTACCACCGAACAACCGATGCTGCTTCGGATTCTCTTTCTTTTCATTCCAGGTGGGAACTAGTTGAGACTCCAAGCGAAATTTTGGAACCGGTGGCATTCAGAGTATCTAAATCAACTCCAGAATCGCGCTAAATGGAGCATTTCGCAGCCGAACTTACAGATTTGTCACCTAGTACTACTAAAGGGCTCCAACTCCAATCCTCTGCACTGGCCGTTGGGTCGCATCCAACAAGTGTATTCTGGTGCTGATGGTCTGGTTAGAGTAGTTGAAGCTAAGACGTTTACAGGTGTTCTTCGGCGAGCCATCAACAAAGTTATTCCATTACCATCTGCAGATTGAATGATAAGAACTTGAAAAACTTTTATTTTATATATTTTACTAATTTACAAATTTAATATTTAATTTAGTGTAATTTTACTGACTTTAAATTTTAACTGAATATCTGAAAACTGAAATGTAAACTCCATGGGAGTTTAAGCGGGAAGAATGGTAAGACCCGCGTGACGCGAGAGGGCGCTAAGAGCACCATTGGGTGTGTTCAGATAGTTGGATGCAAGATGAGACGTAGTGAAAATGTGAGATTTCTAAGTTTGTGCTATTATTATATTTAATTAAAGCAATTTATATTTTATTGATTGCTGATTTATTGAAATTTGATGTAATATTACGATTGCTGAACCACCACACTATTGAAAGCTGGATAACCTCTGAAAGTTCAAACCACTGATGCACACATACTAATGGTTAATATATTACTTAAGATTTGTTGATATTTTAATAGTTTAATAAATACAATAGAAGAGCTAACCTGTCTATCCAAATTTCAGTACTGTTGTCAGAGCTATCATCCTTCTGATGATTGTTCTTTAAATTGGTACGATCTTTTCGCAACCTAGGTGCCTTTCGCCAATCTTTTGCATCGCATTGGTTTTCCAATTGCTTACATCTGAAACTGTAACTGTTGCTTCTTCTAAATGTTTGTTCTTTGTAAGCCATTTCTTCAGCATATAGTTCTTTGTACGATTTTGAACGCTTTTCTCTAGGTTTAATATATGGATAAAAAATGTTTACTTTTTCAATTTTATGTCTGGGTGAAGCATTAGAATACATTTTATTGCAAGGTTCGTCAAAACCGCGTTTCTGCTTACAAAGATCTGCCTGTTTGCTGGCGGGTACATTACTTTCATAGTCAGATTCTTGCAAATTTCTAGAGTTCTCTACCACTAACTTACAAATATCTTTTTTGGATACATCGAATGGAATTGGGGCCTTTAGAGTACTTTGCTTTTCTTTTATATTAAACCTTTTAGAGTTACTTTTCAAATGCTTTAATTTTATATCCCGAAAAGACTTTTTACCCTCAGAAATATCTTTAAACTGACTATTATCAGATCTGGTTGAATTTTGCGCTTTTTCAAGAGATTCCGCACTTGGTATATTTTTCTTACGAAGCTTCACTACAGTGCTTTTATTTATCCTTTCTGTTAAATTTTGTAGCGAACTTTTCCCAGGAAACGAGACAAAATTATGTAACGAATTACATTCCTCATTACTGGAAATGAACTGTTTTTCAGGTAGTTTAAGCAAATTTTGATACTTTTTACCACGGGTATGTTTTGTCCATTTCACTGGAAATATGAACTTATTTTGGTTCGTTGTTTTGTGTGCACCGTTGCTTTCAGCATGCCATGGGTATTTTTCATTATGTTGAACCTCATGTACGTCTATGAAGTATGTCTTGCGAATTGGACGATGATATTTTGGAAGAATTAATGTATCTCTCTCAGCATCCACTATAGGCATAAACACTTCAATTTCGGTAATTTGTTTCTTTGGAATTTCTCTCGTAGTTCTGCGTGATTCGTGGTTGACACGAGTTTGTGTGTTTTGAGATTTGGTTATTCCATCTTTTCTAGATATTCTTTGTGGGGATTTAGATGCAGGTCTTGTGTGAGTGGAAAATTTCCATGAGGGTCTTGGATATATATCTTTGTTTTTATTAGCGTTTCCAATGCAGAACTTTTTCTTTTGGCTTGACTCATTAAGAGGAGAAACAATGGCACTTACATTCTTTGCAGAAATTTTTAATTCATAGTTTCCTTTATCTAAAATTGCTTTTAAAATTTTGCCTTTTTCTTCTGATATTTCGTTTTGTTTTCTATTAATGTTTCCGGAACGACTCTGTACCCTTTTTTCTGTTAAAAAAAAAGAGACAGCCTTAAACATTAGCAAGTCTTGCATAATTGCTATAAAAATTAAATATATACTAGAGAGCTAAATATCTGCAATGTTATTGGTCATCACAGAATAATTATGGTGTATGTACTTGTATAACACACCAGAAATGCTGTTGCACTTGATATCGATTACCATATGCTTTTAGACACCTTAGAAATTAATTAATACTTTGCGCACAGAAAAGAGAAATATAATTCAGCCATAATTGCTTGCCCTTTGCTGTCGTTGCTTGACTGGAATCTGCGACTTTGAGATTTGAAAAAAGAAAAAAAAAATGATTTGGAAAAATAGATATTGGATAGTGAATACACAGAAAGATATGGGCTGGAACACCAGAATCTCACAAATGGTTGCACAGGTAAAGTTCTACCACATTGACTCTACAGCTACTCGCTACCTTTGATAGAGAGCACGTCGGGGAACGGATATAAGGGCATTTCATATATTTTTCCCTAGCAAGAAGCCTTTTTCGAGTAGCCAGTATTTTAAATGTTGTCCATGTTGCACAGACACTATGCACTATACAATTAAACACATCCTCGCCTTCAAGGGTATAATAATAAATGGGTTGGCCGCCAGAATTTCACTACTGGTCATATACGAATGACCTAATAGCTCAGTCAACAGTGACCTAATAGTCCTGCCGCCCTAATAGCTCAGTTCCGCCCCAATTTTGAGGACGAATATCCGGAGCGTGGTACGAGAGACTTCCCCCCCCTTTTTTCTTACCATCAGCCTCTCGAGAGGACTTTTGGCTTGCGGTATATTTTGAGTGCCCCTTATCGCACAGACATCATACGCTTACAAACATCCATGCCCTCTTTGGAATTCCAGCTGAGTCCATCGATAAGGTAGTCAGCGCCATTAACCAGTGTACCGGATGGGCATCCCTTGGCTTCCCAGACAGGTCAAACAACAAGTAAGTAGAAAGTCAGATAAAGTCCAAAACAAATTTATGGTTGTAACGAAAACGTTTCGCCAAAAAAGTTCTTAATAAAGTTAGGAAACATAAAAGCAGTATCTTTAGTGCGGGTAGTAACCACCACCAAAATCTATGATTTTCTGCCAACGTTTTGGTAGTTTAATCAAAGCCTTCGGCCCAGAAACTTCGTGGCTGTAAGTCCAAAATGTGAGATCAACCTCATTTTGGACGTCCTGTGCAGAATGGAAGATAGTACCAGCAAGATGTAGCAGCAAGTGTGAAAAAGGTAGGGATCGGAAGGAGCGATGTCAGGGCTATATGATGGGTGTGGCAAAAGATCCCATTCAAGTTCGTACAGAATCCATCTTGTGAATGCAGACACATGTGGTCTTGCATTGTCTTGATGGAACATAACCTTTTTGAGCTGTAAATCAGTTCGACGTTATTCCTAGATAGCAGCGTCAACACGGAATAGCATCTCGCTGTACACCTTACTTTTTAGAGTTTTATCTTTTCCCAGATATTCTTTGCGGTTAATACCATGGCAATCCTACCAGATAAAATGCATGATCTTTTTGTTAGTTAAACAGCGCTTTGGAACGCTGCCGACGAGCTCACCGAGCGCAGACCAGCACCCAGAATTTCCGGTTAACATACGCTGATACGTTTAACTATTCAGCAGCTGCCTGCTCGGGAACCATTCCCTGCACATTCCTTGAACAGCTGCTCCACTTCCGACCATCGTGTTGTAGATGAAATGCGTATCAACAAGCTCCGCTTCGTGTAGCAATACATACCATCCGAAATCCACACGAGGAATGATGGCTTACGCTAGGGAACTGCTTTCAGCTATCAACCTCAACAACGTTAACATCCAACATTTCTTGCACACCACACTCCATTACAAAAACTGCTTCTTTTTTACCTCCCTTAACATTTCCGCCAAATACTTTATAATTACTATTTATTCAGAGTTTCAAATTCTAGAGCAATTTCAGTTCAACAAGTTTATACAACAATTAAAAAAGCATATTTTAAAACATTTTGCGTTGCTCACTAATGAATATAACCGTTCATTCACCTACGTATATTTCAGAATTTTTTAGCCTATTGTACTTAAATGAGAAAATCAACAATTACTTTTATTTTGTAGGGTTTATATTTATTTTAACTAACATTTATTTTAAGCTATCTTTTCTGTCAAGCCTTTACTTTCCCCTAGAATTGCCAGTGCTAGAGTATATAAATTGTAGCAGAGCGCGCAGTATATTCAAATTTAGCAGAAGTAAGTTGAGTTTAAATAGAAGGAAAATGAGTTTGTAGGTGTGCTTCCTGAATCGCGAACGTGAAGGTTGCTAGGTAGAAATTTAAGAACCGCGCGTTCCGGCCTGTGTGCCTATCTCGGCAGTTTATGCTGAATCTTTCAACTGCTTAATTAGTAAGCTCACTGAAGCTCAGCGGTATTGTAGAACGCGGTTAGGTTAGTTTAAGATCTCAAAGCCTCGTGAATAGTGATCTCGTTATTTATTCATCTAGTCATTATTTTTCAGTTTTACATTCTGTTTCAGTTAAACCGCCAGGTCGGCGTAGTTTGTGAGCTTCAAGTGGACGCAGCTGTTATTTTAAAAGTTGAATAAAAAGGGCTTTAAACCCTTCTTACGTGTCTGTGTAAATTCAAACTTCGTAGCAGTCACTACCACAATTGCTGACAAGTTGGGGCCACTACAATTTAATTGGAATGCAGTTTAATATTTTAAAACTTAAATCAATATGCTTCATCTGTTAAAATACTTTCCCAGCTTATATTTGTTAAATTCTTTCTGAAACTATGAATTCTTTTGCTGTATGGCTTTATGTGTATAGTATTTTCAACTTACATGGATTTAATTTTTTAATTCCTTTCAAATCGTATCATTTTAATTTGATGAAGATGAAAAGAATTTAGTTGCTTCTTTTCTTCTACTAAAATTATTGCTAATATAAATGGTGAAATTCTAAGGGTATTTAATGTTCGACGTTCAAGTAAATGATGATTAATTAGGTTTCTGCTAACCCATCAGATTTTCTAAATGATGAATAAACTATCTTGACTAAACTTAGATAAGTGAGAAAATAGGCTAATATTTCTGATATAAAATAACTTTTCATAAGGTATATAAAGAGGTTCAAAATGATATTACAAATTTAATTAAGTTAATAACAGAAGACCTATTAAAATAATTAGATTGCACATACGGTATTTGAAGCTGCAGTGTCTACGTTATATTGCCTATTTATTGTATTCTATTGTATGTTACTATATTCTTTTGCATATATAATCTTAGTACCATTTAGTGTAAGCACGTAACCGTAATAGTTGCCTGCTGACAGATGAATAATGGAAATACAAAAACACATACGCAGTGCCTTTTGATCGCATACTCAGAACGTTTGCCTCCGTAACAACCGCTCTCCCACTCCATAATGGGGCATGTGGGGCAAAACCGACTAACCTATGGTAAATAGACGGTGCTTCCGTCGCATCAACAGTCCATTCAGTCCACAGTCTATGTTAAGTAAGTCTGAGCGCATGCAGATATTTTGCTTTTTTTAGTTCTGTCTCAGCCTCCCAGTAGGCTGGGACAGAACTCGAAGTCGTGCTAAATAAGTCAGTGAGCGCGTGTTTCCTTTCAAACAACGTAAGAAAACTGAGAATGTGTTGCAGAATGGAAAGACAACAAAGAACAGAATTTGATACTGTGCCACAGTCACATCTAAAACCCTTATCACATATGATATTTGTTTCCGGAACAAAACGTTTGGTGGAACAGTTCTGAGAAACGCTCTTTTGCGAAATAGGGTTACCATCTTCACTTGGTAAACAGGCTGAAAAGCCAAACAAGAATCAGTAATCGCTCAGATTAGCGAAAGTGACATTTCCTTTCGAGTGACGTTTGCTTCGTGTTGTTTTGTATCGCTCACACTCTTTTCGTTTTAAACTTTATTGTTAATAATGGAAGATAATAGAAAGGTGAATGCTATCACGTTAATCACTTTGATCTCCACTCTGGCACTTCAAGTAACAGATAAACACACTTCTTGTTATAGCGATCAATTACATCAGTAATAGCCAAATTCTGTATACACTAAGAATAGTTTAAAACGTGTGCTGAATAAGTCTATTTATCAGACATTACTTATGTGTATTTTCTGATGTCTGCATTCCAATGAAAATTTGATGGCTCACTGGAAAATTTGTGACCTGGTGAAAGCATTTTCTTGACTAACTTTATGGCTCATAATTACTGTTCTGTCCATTCAAACAAACAAACAGAAAAAAAAGACCTTCTGTGACAAAAATCTATATGGCTGATATTTACATCCTCACAGCCAGGAGATACTATTCAGTAAAATGAAGATCAAATAAAGCATATGAATATATGAGCAATCAAACATGTGCGAGTTGTTTACTGTCCCATAGAACACTCGGTAATATACCTAAAACACATTAATTATAACAATTCTAGAAATTAAGTGGTGCATATCATGAGTTTGTTTTATGTGATTACGTCAAAGCCTCGAGGGATATCTGCCTAACAAGAGGGATCGCTTTGTAGAAGATTTTTTAAAACTGGCTCATATACCAGTAACAAATAGGGGGAAAACCCAAGGAAAACGTCTTGTAGCCCAGCCCGTTCGTGGCATTCTAAACTCTAGACAAAACTACCAGTGTTCAACGAATGCTTCGGCCAACTGGTAGGCCCATGCACACAATTGGAAAGTACAATCCATTCTGTAAACACACATGAAGGTGATAATCAGTTGTGCACCTGTTTGTTTTAAGTAATCAAATGTTATAAAATGCACAGCTGTTACATTTCTTATTATTATTAGTCATGTTTATATTACGTAGATCATACATATGATATAATTATGAATTAACCCAATAACAAAATGTGTACACTCTTTAGTACTCAAAACTCATCAATATTTTTCAACTGATTATTACATACCCATATAATTTGCAAAGAAAATGATGACTATAGTTGCTGACAATTACATGATCGTTATCTGAATTAAAAGCAACTTCAAATAAACTTCTTGGCAATGTTCATTTTTGTATTCATACATACATATAAGTCATATATTTACATCATCTAATAAGTCATATATTTACATACAGATAGAGAGATGCGATGGTTTAGAAGTTGTTAATATATATTTATTAGTATTTATGTACTGAATAAGATTTATATTAATGAATGTATATACAAATGTTTTTCATCATGCATAATAATAAATCCATAAATTTCCAATGTTTCAATATATAGCATTTACGATAAAAGTACAGTTTCTAATGTATTTATAATCCAAAAAGTATTTCATTAATAACATGCAAATAATAGACAAATTTAATCATTCGCATTATTACATAAGCTATGCTTTTCTTTTTTTATGCATCTTTTATGCTGTTTAAAATGTGTCACTGATTATGCAATTAACAATTTAAAAGATAAGTAATTAGTAGAAAAGCCGCGCATATGCAAACGGATTTTAAAAAATATTCAAATTTAAGAAATAAAATTCTATTATCTAACAGTGATTATTATCACTGTTATATAATAGAATTTTATTTAAAGCAGCACGAAGTACGACAAATTTGGCGAACATTTGTCGACGAACAATTTGTAAACAAATCCGAACTGCAAGAACGTCGTAAAATACTGTCAACTCTGAAAGTTCCACGATTATATATTTAATGAATATATAAACATTTTAAAACGACACAGGCAGTTAGTTATATTACAACAAAACAGCAATAATTAAATCGGCCTCTATTTCCACCGTCCATGACTTCACAATGAGAGGCCATCGCCATATTGAAAGTTACCCGTTATCCTTCAGAAGCAGAACTTTCGTCTGATTGGTTGAACGTTCGAAGAACACATCTCCAGCCGGAACATTTTCGGACAAGTTTTAAAATGTTGCTTGTAGCCGGAACATGTTCATCCTAGCTAGACGAAACATTTCTCGGAAGCCTCCTGCTTAAAGCAGTGCTACTAGAATCTCGTTTCTCTAAATTGTCCCGCGTAGCCGCGCGCGTCCCTAGCAGTGATAGCCTCTTTATAGTTATGAGACTACGTCTCATGCTCAAGGAAGAAATAACTTTGGTTGATTTGAAGAAAGGATGATTCAGCAAAGACAGAACAACATTGCATGAAATGTGTGAATGGTGTTACAGACTTCCAGTGCGTGCGCCACTGGAAGTCTGTAACACGATTTACAAGACGTGCAGCCACGGACACGATTTACAGGTAACAGGTTACGGAAAGCGGAGATTACTGGCAGCTACCAACAGAGGTTAGCAAGAACTCTCGCCGGGCCCTAGCTAAGCGCAACACCTCCATGAGGCGACGAGAACATCCAATCAAGGATATATTGCAATAAAATTGACAGAGACAGAAAATGGCTGAAAATACGTAACTGATACATTACAGATAATGTTTTTCACTATATAATGAAATGTCTTGTCTTACAGAAGTTCAGGATACGGGATGACAGGTGACAGTTGACACAGGACTGGGAGCACCTAGCGTCTACCAGAGGTAAGCAGATGTATGCCCCTTGTTCTGTGTTATCCAGCGTTTGTTGCAAAATTTAAGAATTAAGGTAAGACACATGGCCATACAAGGTCTAAGTGGTGGTACAATGGCTACAGTTTTGGAGACAGAGGATGCAAGAAACATATTGCAAATACCAGAATATAAAACATAGAACATAATATAACATATAAAAGTTGTACAATACAGAAGTATATATATATAGTAAATATGTAATAAAATAAATAATAAATATAAGTAAAAGTTATGCAGTATAAAAGTGCATTTAGTAAACAGGTGACTGACGGGAGTACACCTGGCTTTGCCTCCGGTGGAACGGTGTTTTCAACACCAGACTGTCTGAACACAAGGCTCTACCCATAGTAAAACAATTAGAGATTATGTAAAGTAGTATAAAGATAACCTTCAGTGGAAATTCTAACTTTTTTATAAGTTTTGAGTGTTTAAAATTAATGTATAGAAGAATTGTATGAAATGATCTTAAGTGGGCTGGTGAAAGCTGAGCTAAACTATGAAAGCCAGGAGCCGTCGAAGACGTTAAATTTGTTGCCATTAGTATCCTTCGTCAACGTTAAAAGAATATAAACATTATTTCGGGGCACTCTGCAGTTGATTGAACATCTGGATGAAAGTTTCCTCATACTGCCCTTTTATTCCACCTTAGAATGCTTAACTGTCGCACAGCAATAAAATCAAAAATTTTGATTACTTCTAAGCGTGGTTTTTTTTAGATATAAAAGGGTTATTCTATTTTGATTTCCTGGTTAATATTTCAGAAATGGGAAAATTTCAGAAATTGTATATCAGGTTATATAGGAATTTGTAACAGACTTAGCTCACAAAACTTAAAATGAAAAGAAAATGTTTCATGCATTATTTGCCTTAACTGAGTATGGAATTCGAAATGCATAGTATAAACTCCTTGCTAGAAACAGTAACGCCTGAGATACAGTTTTTCAACGCATCCATTTGTGCACTCAAACCGAGCAAATCGAGTAGATTTGAGAATGAAATGAGTAGACTGAGTAGATTTGTAATTATTCAAAAAATCTCGAAACAAGAATAATACATTTTCAGTTTTACCGAAATAAATCTGCTCAAAATTCTTTCATTCATCTGAGGGTAAATTAAAAAAAGACATATTTTTCAACTTATATTTTAGATTTCTGGTCTACAATTACTGAAAAACAAAGCGTTTCAGATAGATCTTCTGTTTTATTAAAATAATTACTTTTAACTTTGTTAGTTCTATGATATGTAAACCCAGAGTGAACTTTAATAGTCGGCAAAGTCTAGGATTTTCTGAAGGTAGCATACAGATGGTCTCTGCTGTTCTTACGTTAGCTCTTGAGCATCGCATTCGTGGTGGACTCAAATAGTTGTTCTCGTTTTATCTCGTTCGTGTCACATTAGGTCGACAGTTTCGTATATACTGAGTAAGTTTGCTTTGAAGCTATGAAAAAGTAAGTTTTATCATGAAGAATTACTGCCTTATACAATTATATAACTATCATTTAAAGGGAACATAAATGCTACGAAATTAATCCAAGTATTTATAATTTTCAAACACATATGATGGCTGAAATCAACAATATATATTAAAACATGCTGAAATGTTTATCATAAAACATGGTCATACATATCAACATGCCTCTAACAAAAGTATAGACAGTTTTCAGCATTTGAGGTGATGGCAAATCATTCTTCCATTATCTAATCTCACTTTTGTTACATTTTAGTTAATACGTCTGGAAAAAGTGTAACACCTGACGTGGGTTCCAACTAACTAAGCGATGCCAGTTACCATATAAGAGTAAGGGTGTTACGTTCTTTCTGTGAAGGGAATTATCCCCATCATATAGCTATCCATCAACCAAAGAGAAACAAAATTAAAATGCTGCAAGTTTATTCTAACTCTCAATCGTGAGATTTTAAAATACACAAACATCAAAATTACTAACTTCAGCTTATGGTATCAAAATTACTAACTTCAGCCAATGGTATTCCCAATAAGAACAGTCTTTCCGTCGTTGATCAGGGCAGCCTAAATTCTCACGCTTTTATTCGTAATATTCTACACTCAAAATCTACATAAATTCTGGAGCGAGTGAACCTCATGGCGGAAAGAGGCAAAATTAAATTAAATAATATTTCGTTAGTAAAACTTGAATATCAATGACACAAATGGAGCTTTGAAACAGTGAGGCATTCTTTTGAAATACACTATAGAAGAATTCAAAATAGGTTCCTGGGATTACAAGGGGCTATGGATAGGCACTTACTGTTGAATATATGTTGGAAACCCCAAAGCTTTTGAATGCTTGATAAGTACCAAAATTCGTTAAACGAATGTTCAGTATCTCTTCCCGAAAGATTAGGTGGAATATTCATTCAAGGTATGGAAAACAATTGCCAAGACACGTTGAACATTAATATGAGGCACGATAATTGTTAAATACTACTTTATTCCGGAGACATTACAAAAGGAAAAGAAATAAATTGAAACTTCACTGGCAAAAGAATAGTTTACAGTAAAGGCCTTTCGCTTAAAATGCAGAAAACTAAATATACCCCAACTAGAGACAACATGAATTTTCTTACCATGATATTTAACTGTTCATTTCATTCGGTCACATAAAAAGAATCAATGTTGTAGTAACTAAAGTTAGTTTCACACTTAAACCAAGAATCAATATACATTTTTGAAGGGATTTTAGTCTTTCAGCTTATAAATGCTGTTATTTAATTTTCCTCATTTTCCTATTTCCACAAATGTATTGTTTTATTTAACTGTCGTTACAGTTTTAGACCCATTTGATTTCAACCACCTTCCATAAATTAAAAAAATTGCATTATTTTTATAGTCAATAGTTTTTAAACTCTAAATATGCTGTAAGGGGCTTCGAAATGCACTACAAATGCAGCTGTAAAATGAGTAATCAAATAATTTCATGAGGGGAATGAAATGCTTTGTTTAAATGATTATCTTATAACAGTACATATTATAATGATTCTTACCTTTTGGTACAAATTTTTTGGAGACTTGTAAAGAAGGAAGGTCGCACAAAGAATCAGGAGAAAATGAATCACAGGATGAGTTTGCAGGCAATATACTTATTATTTCAGTGTTCATAATACACAGAATGCGATGCAGGTATTACTGAGTAGAAAACTATTGTAGGATAAATGTTTATATCCTAGAGAGAAAGAAAAAGAGATGTACATTTTAAAATTTTGTTTGTACATATACATATCATATACATCCACACAACATATATATATTTCCCAGTCTTTTGTATGGATTTTCCCTCAATTTAGAAACTTTCTTTGTGCATAAATTATCTTTAAAGCTTCCTATTTTACCTTCAAATAAATTTCCTTCAAAAAATAAATTAATTTTGCTTCCTCAAATTTTGACTTTAAAATATATTAACTTTTGATCTAGAACAGTTACGTTTGGTTTACAACGTGTTTTAAGCAATTTTGCACTCTCTTTGGCTGAAAATTTACTTTAAATATTTATTTATCCCATTGTTTTAATTTACGTAATGGCTTTTGTACTTCTCAATGTCGAGAATTCTTATTTCACACTGTTTTCTTTTATAGAGTTTTTTGTTTAAGGGTGCCATCGAAGCAGATTGTATCTTGATAACTGATTAATTTTTTAAAATTTTTATTTACTTTTCTGTAAACATTTTATTGGCCTTAAATTATTTCTTTAACTTTATTAAATTGTTTAATTTTTATTTGGCACTTTCTTTTGAATTATTTCAAGAATTTATAATCATCCAAAGAGACACTTTCTTGAAATTTAGAAGTAACGATCTGTTGACAATTCTTTGGATGGTGCTAAAAAAAGACCAAAAATATACTTATTAGTCTATTTTACTGAATTGTTTGGTTTTTGTTTCAGTTTTAATGTATGTACTTCCTTTTAGAGTATTAACTCCCTATTTTGATTTAATTATTATTTCTTGATTATTAAATTACTTTCGCAGCACACTGCGCGACTTTAGTAATTTGTAATCATTAATTTGAAATTTCTAAGCTATTGCTTATATCAGTTGATAAATGCAGTCTGAACAAGAATACCGATACAAAATAAGACACATATGTATTAGCTCATCAAAATCAAAATACTTTTCGTAATACAATGATTTTAAATAAAAGCAGATTGACAGAATTAAGAACATTCGGAGCAATCAAAAAATATTCATAAATTTGTTTAATTCCTGTTATCATGCTATCTAACGAAAATTAGTTTCTTCACAAGTAATCCTGAATTGCATATAATATCCGTCTAATTTCCATGTTATGCGTATTTTTATGAGATGTATATGAAGGTATACATTCTGTCAAAAAATTTCGCACACCCAAAAGACAATTTGATCATGGTTCAAAAAGAAGGTAAGAAAGTGATTAAAACTAGTTAATAATTAATCTATTTACTGAACTAAAATCGGACTAAGTCATTTGTATATTAATGCGATGAATGTCCATCTTTAACGGCAAGATGTGAGGATATTTGATATATCATGGACTCACAAAAACGTGAAATGCTGCCGTCTAGAGCTTGCTACTAGTTAATCTTCAATATTCTATAACAGTTGTTATACATTTCGTAAGTAATAATGCATAGTATTTGATGGTTGTAACCGACTGATTGACTTGGTATGCTCTGAGACATGATTACAGCACTATCGTAGACGATTGATGGACATGTTCGCCCCGTACAGACAGGCACTATTTGGCAGAAAGATGGCCTTCACCAAACTCGACATTATTTTCAATGTAACATATTCCAGCATGTCTTTGACATATTGACAGGCCATTTAAGTTCTATAAAGAATTCTTAAAAATAACCTATATCAAAAACATAATGTCAGATAATAATGATGTACGACACTCCTCAATGATGTGAAATAAGCAGTGGAGACCAGGTCTAGACCAGGTCACTCCACTTTCTCAACACACTGGCATCAGTCCAGTAATGCCTTCAGAAAAACTTAGCTACATCTAAAAACTCAGGAAGAAAAAGAGTCCAGGAAAAGACAGGATCAATAATACTATGGTGAAGACATTCCCTACCAAAGTCATCTTTATCTTAACTAAACTCTTCAACGAAGTACTTCCTATACAGCATTTTCCTAACCTGTGGAAGACTGCACTTATTACGCCAATTCTTAAGAAGCCTGATAATCGTCCTGACCCCTACAAACCAATCAGCCTACTGCCTGAACTCAGCAAGCTGCTAGAAGCTATGCTACTAAAGAGGATCACAAGCCATCTCGATGAAAATAACATCATCATACCTCATCAGTTTGGTTTTCGGAAAAATCTATCTACTATGAACCAATTATGCAGAGTAGTTGAAACCATTCTGAAGGCATGGTATAACGCAAGACTACAGGAGGAATTTTCATTGTTGTAGCGAAGGCTTTTGATAGAGTTTGCCTGGAAGCCCTCATTTACAAAAGCCACAGCCTGGGTTTCCCAGGATACATCACAAGCATAATTTAATCTTACCTTACAGGTAGACACTTTGTCGTTCAGGTTTCTGGCACACATTCCACTCGCCGTGCTATTACAGCCACTGTACCACAAGGGTGTCTCGTTAGACCCACCTTATTTAATAAATATACGTAAACAACATCACTACAACACCAATACCTAACATAACATTATCTATGTACGCTGATGATACAGCGATCCTAGTACAAAGTGCATTTGTTCGTCCAGTTGTCCAATACTTACAAGAATGCATACACGCATTAGAGACTTGGCTTAAGCAGTGGAAGATAGAAGTAGACATGCAGAAAAACAAAGCCATCCTATTTACAAAGAATTAGAAGATCAAGTAACATCTGAAGTTCTACGGTACTACCATCCCATAATCTAAGCAGGTCTCATACCTTGAGGTGATTATCAATAATACTCTCACATGGATTCCAAAATATCAACATATTCTTCAAAAGTTTCAAGTGCGTAAAATGAAACTCTACCCCTAATTTTCGAAACAGTGTTGTATCCTTAGATAACAAGTTACTTATTTAGAAATCCATTCTGCGTTCCATGTTATGCTATGCCTGCCCAGTATAGGCTTTTGCTATACTGGGCAAGCATAAAGTAAAAGTAATCGAAAAAAGCTGCAAACTGCCCAAAAAGCAGCACTTAGAAAAATTACCAATTCCCCGTGAAATGTTCGAAATAATAGAATATACGAGGAACTCAGAATTGTCCAGTTAAGGACATATTACTACAATCTCGCGAAAAAATTTCATGAAAGGTAACGCAGTATTGAAGACCCTGAAATCAATATTTGTACTTATGACTAAGTGATCTTGCCAATCTGAATATACCTTTAGCTATCTTAAATGTATTGTCGCATGCGTACGGGTTCGTAAGATATTGAATGCACAAGTCAATAAAAGTTAATAAAACTTATTCTTTTCACAAGAAATAAAACAAAATGCTGAAATATTTTCTCAGAGATATTTGTAAAATATCACAATATCTCACAGTAGTTATATTATGAACTACTAAAACGTTAAATAGAATGCAATCCAAAATACAGAGAAAGCTAATCCTATCTCACCGCGAATTCGCTACAATCAATAACAACACTAAGTAAATAACTGAATTGAGATGCTTTCGTCCGTCTTTTATAAGCTTTTTAATTATGCACGAGAACATTCCTGTATTTTCCCAAGGTTTCTGGAAAGCAAAAGAGTACAATTACGAGATATCTATTTATATGCGCGTGCTCCTGTATTTTTAATTTTTCGGCGTAGCTTTCTCTTAAAACTCGTCACGCGCTGCTTTGCACGGCGAAATAAAGGAATTTTATTTATAATGCTACTAAAAATAGCAAATTGAATACAAAATCCGTAACAGGGTGAACTATGTAACTTGTGTGCCTTGTAATATATGATTTATGTACTCAGTTTCTCTTTTGTTTTATTCTTCAGAATTTTTTTTACTCAATTTTAAGCACCGAAGGGTTCGTACTAACCTTTTATTTCAGATATTATTACACACCAGTTAGAACGCCTCTCCCCAAGATTTCTTAGGAGCTTTTTCTGGTCTATGCGATTCCTAGGTTTTGCTTTTACTCTTGTACATATAGAACCTTTTTGCTCGAACTATCATTACTAATTAAGGCACAATAACACAGACTGTTGTTAGACTTCTGAATTAGTATCATTACTAAGTTAAAAGTAAGTTAAAATCTTAATTTAAAATCTCAAGATATTAAAAAAACTAATATATCTCATTTTGTATATTATTTAATGATCTAAAACTTTTGTATGTACATACCCCGTAATTCTCTTTCACTATTCGTAAATGTACAAAATGTTCTGCAAGGTGATAGGATCCCCGAACTTAGGTACCATGGTGACAAGCACCACTCTATCAACCTAGGTTTTTCATCATTTCTGTTCGTGATAAATGCTTCGCTTCTGCTTTCTCCCTTCCTGTTTTAAACAAAGATTCACGAACAGGATGCAACGCGTCCGTGGCTGAGTCACGTGGTTGATAACAGAGCAGTGGCATATTCTCCTGAGCGTCTCTGGTATCTTCGCTCCACTGCGCCTCATGGTTCAAAACCGGGTGCTACTTTGGTAGACGGTTGCACGGATTTTGGCGATTTTTTCTTTTGGCGAGTAATACAACTTATGGTAAACCCATTGCTGGATAAGTTATGTATGGTAACAGATCATGGACCTTATAAGAGATAGACTAACCCAGTGGGCGGGGCGCGCGTCACCCACATGTCGGCAAGAAAGAGTAGGGACGATCTGGTTTATTTTAACACTGAAACCTATGGCGTTCGTATCACATAACTCTTATTAATTATTAAATGTGATACGTTGTATAGTGATGAGATTATGAAAGACACAGTTTTTTTCCAAATAGGATTTAATATATCTCATTAAGGCACTTTTTGCTGCATTTCGCGCATTTATTTCACGCGTAATTCTGGTACAAACATCTTTACTTTGGTAAAACGGTAAAAACTTTAGGCACAAAATTTATGAACTTAATTTTGCGTACAAATAACGTAAAATTAAATAAGATTGATAGTATGTGATGCTTTGAAATAAATAAGGTAAAATTAAACAAGATCTGATATTTTTTTTTCAATTTAATGACCATTTTCAGGCAGTGATTTTCAAAACTATAATAACATTACAAAACAATCATTTATTTGATTGTATCATCATTAACTTATTAACATTAAAGTGGAATATTTATTTTAGAAATTTATAAAATTTGGAGCATAAAATTTTCTGAGCGTAATGAAGGGGGGAAAAAAGGTAAAATAAAATCTAGAAGCGCTCAGATTTTATATTACGCCCAAAAAGAACCTTTTTTTAACGTTTTGTGTGTTACCTATAGTTATTGAATATCATGTTCGTCGTCCGTAAACCACATACATTTGAAAACAGCATATCTTTAGAATTTCCGCACTGGAGATAAAACTGTTATTTTCCATACAGTGCTCTCTCTTAACTCGTTGAGTATGTTAATCAAAAATTCGTTAACGTTTTACAAAATATAAAATAGATTAAAACAAATTCGAAATTCGGCCGTCCAGATGCCCATGTTCGGGTGGAGGATTACATTACTCAAAATTTGATGGCTCTAGATATTGTCGTTTTTGTCACAGTGCGAGAAACATACATGTATTCATGCAGATTCTTCATTATTTAATTTCTTTAAATATAATACAGGGCGATAATATTTGGTAACATCAATTTGCAATGAGACACGGACATTTATAGTAAAACAGCGCAAAATGCTGTTTCGAAACTAACAGCCTTTCTAGGCTACCGCCCCTTTGGACTAATAAATTAACAGTAAATAAAAAAAAATCTTACGCAGAACTAAGAATAAATTTAGAAAAATAATCACTATAAAATACAAGCAAAATTAATTATTACGGTTAAATGCAATTTTAATATTAGAATTAAATGTATAAAAAGATGTCAAAACTGTTTATCACTATGACGTATTATGAAATATAATTGAAATAAAATTCCTTTATAGAAATTGTGCTATAATACTCATCTATAATTTTAAAAAAGCAGCACAATTTAGAATTTTAAACAAAACTTTCAAAAATTCGTTTTTAAATATTTTAGTATTTTTTACTTATTTACACCAATAAAAAGCATAAAACTTGCAAGAGAAAACTGCTTGTTTGAAATTTTCTATTAGTTCAGATTAAGTTTCAGTGATAAAAGTAGTTACAAATTTCCTTACAGCATAGGAAAAGCTAAAAAAATATCCAGCCCTGAAAGCATGCAATAGCTTTATAATTATTTGGAACGTTCATTATGCTTGATAAATATGCTAAATTTTTAAAAATCAATCTCAATTTCAAAAATAAAAATATGTAGAAATTGTAATTTGTGAAATGAGGCGCTACAACAGCTTTTTCTTGACAATTATACACGCTGCAATAGGCAACCACTGTTAAATTTCCGGATGTGATCAAGGTGACAGACGGGAACGCCTCAGACGAGGGAGAAAACCAATTTGGGTTAGTCTATTTCTTCTAAGGTCCATGTAAACGATACTTTGTCATTTTATTAAAAAAAATAATGCGTTTATTATGCATAAATTACGTGTTTTAAATATTATTTATGGCTTCTAAATATTAAAAATCAATTTAATTTTGCATTTTATTTGAAATAAAAATTTTGTTGTTTATAATATTTGATATAATTTAATGTTGTAAATGATGTAATCAATGACGTCACCTTACTTAAAAAGTAATTGGTTTTATTAATATCTATAAATTTAATCTAATGTTTTAAACATCATTTTTGGCTGTTGAATATTAAAATACAATTTAATTTTGCATTTGTTTTAAAAATGATTCGTTAAACTTTTACAAAATATGAAATAGATTAAAACAAATTCGAAATTCGGCCGTCCATATGCAGTTTTAAAATGATTCTATTATGAATGATTATTTAAATAATTTTAATTCTATGCGTGATGCAATCAGCTCCCTGATTGGTTACTGAATATTTGTGCATTACCGCGCCATTTTAAAATTTTATTATTCATCTCTTCGAATTCTTCAGATTTCAAATGGAATGGATATCTACGTTTTGAAGATGAATGTTGTTATTGGGAATTACCAAGAATTATTGGTATTGGAATAAAAAATTGCCCTTTAAGTCCTTATTTTGGTCAACCTGTCTTTCCTATTCAAAGATTTATTTATAAATTGTTAATAGCGTCAGAGGAAATTTATTTTAAATTTTTGGAGAAAACCTCGCTAATTGCTTCTTCAATGAAGTGCCAGAAATGTAGATCACAGATGAAGATGGTTAAAAGAGCCCATTCAATTATGATTCCGATTTTTTTTGTGGCACTTATCAATAAACAACAGATTAAATGACTCAAAAAATGTAAGTACATATTTTTCTTTTATTCTATAATTGTATACTTCAATTTTGTTTTAAAAAAATTGCTGAGATAATTATTGTCACATATGTTTTAATGTTAATTATATTCTATATAACGTATTTTAAAGTATTTGAATTTAATAATATTCTAATTCTTTATATGTTGGTATGATGGTTTTTAATTCGATATTCAATTTCAGTAATATTTTAATCCAATTAAACGTTGGCACAATGTTTTATAGCGGTTTTTTTATTCTCGTCTTTGCTATATGAAAGTAATAATAACCTTACTTTAGTATTTTATACTCAAATGTATTTATTTACACTTGCCTGCCATCTTAAAAAACGACATTTTCAACAAAAAATTAATCCATTACTTTTAACGATATTTATTTATTTATTTATTTTTTATTATTTTAAAGTTTCGAATACTTTACTATGCGTAAAAACAGCGTTTTTCAAGATGGCTGACGATTGTAAAAATCGTGCCAACAATTGCGCCAACGTAAATCGCCAAAAATCCGTGCAACCGTCTTACCAAAGTAGCACCCAAAACCGGCGTATTTACGCTACTTGCAACGGTTGCCTGAAGAATGATTACGCGCATGACACAATCTGAATGGCTTGGCACAATCTGAAATCTGGCCACTTTTACTAAGGCGGTTGCAATAATAGGTAGGTATTGCAATTTATTTACAAAGGTTATAATTTAAGCAAGCTCTTAGGAACTCTTTTACACAGAATTATTTCATAATATTCAAAACTCATTTGGTATATCAAATACATATAACATAATTTTTTAACCTTCATGTCTTTTTTATGTTGCTACGTTGCTTTATTCCGAGCAAAATAAAGTAGCACACGAAATATTCAACACAATTTCAAACGCAATCGGAGTAATTACTGAAAAGAAATTATTTTATACAAATTGTATTCAAACTAACAATAATTTCTGTAATTTTTTTACCTGAAAGCAGTTATAGCACAACATGTAAAGGTGGACTTTGAACTATTTTACTATCTTGAAACGGACTGGGAAATGTTAAGGTTTATCCTTTAATCAAATTAATAAAATGAATGTAAACAAAGATTTCGGGATTTAAAGCCAAATTTTACCGAGTAATTTTAGATAATAATGAAGTCACAGTTAAGATAAAATATTACCTCGTGATTAAATTAGATCTTTTTCTTCTGCAGTCTTTGCCTTCAAATATATATATTGCGAAATTAAAATACTTTGCAGAAGTAATAATAAGAAAAAAATACCATGAAATAACTTCCTCTACAGAACAATTAAAAGAAATAAAAGATGAAGAAAAAATTAATGAAGAATAATGTCCATATTTTAATTTAATGGGTGCACTTAAGTCCCATTTTACGTACTTTTCAGTTGCGTGCCAGCCACCTAAAATAGTTATCATAAAGAAGAAAATACATAGAATGGCCACCTACAATAGTTATCATAAAGAAGAAAATACATAGAATGCGTTTAATGAGTCCAGCTATTGTGCTGTATCATATAAGTGTATATAAGTGCTTCGAAAATGTTTTAAGTCCAGAAAATGGTGGTTAATACATAAAAAATTATTGGATTCCCACGTCTTAGTGATCTGTGTTAGAACCCAGCCTCAGTTGTTATTTTTCTTTTCATAGTTTCTCACTGTAAGAGCGGCAACCACCGGATTTTTGTTGTAGTTTGCTGTAGTTCTACGGATTTTGAAAATAAATATGACGCTTTGAAATTTTATATGTAAAATTATTTTATTTTAGGTTTATTAGGAGAAAGGAGAACGGTTAGTTCTTGCAAATCTCGAACAATTTTGGTGACGTTGGACTTGGTTGAATCGAATTTAATTCTATTTGACTTTATTGAATTTATTTTTACTGAAATGGAATCGTTAATTGAAAAACAAAAACCTGTCAGAGCGTTTTTTCCGAGAACAATTAATGCAATTTTGCAGGAATTAGAAAAGGAAATTCCTGATGAAGAATTTATAAAAACGAAACTTGTTACTAAGAACGTTTATCTGTTGAACTTAATGCATTTGATACTCAAATATTAAATTCAGAATTTTCTTCAAATGATCAGTTTGAAAATGAATGGGCGAAAACACGGAATTATTCTTCAATCGCCAAATGATACAATCTACTAGCAGTATTCCGCCGAATTCGAACAAACGAAAACTAAAATTACCTAAAATAGAGTTAAAACAATTCGGTGGTGAAATTAAAGATTGGTTACCGTTTTCGGGACAATTTCGGCGAATACATGAAGGTAAAGAAATTCAAAACGAGGATAAGATGCATTATCTCGTTCAAGCGACCGTACCCGGTACGAGACCACGGGATATTGTAAACAGCTTCCCTGCAACTGCCGAAAATTATGAAAAAGTTATAGAAAGCTTAAAAAATAGGTTCGGCAGGGAAGAATTGTTGGTAGAATTCTATATTCGGGAATTATTAGGTTTGATTATTAAAAATGTCACTGATGATCAAAAGAGGAAAATGCAGTATATCAGAATTGTATGACAAGTTAGAGTCGTATTTACGTTCGTTGGAGTCAATAGGAATGACAAGCAATAAATACGCTGCAATGCTGTTTCCGCTCGTGGAATCTTGCATTCCCGAGGAAATTTTACGAGTTTGGATTAGAAATCATGCATCAATAATAACAGCAGAAAATTCTCACTCTGAGAAATTGAAACAATTATTATTGTTTTAAAAGAATGAAGTGGAAGGAGAGCAGAGAATTTCTTTGGCAAAAGCTGGATTTAAATTAATTGATTCGGGTGCCAAGAGAAGAAAGTAGAAGAGATAAAAGGTACTAGAGTGAACATTTCGTGCCTACAGCAAATGATTTATTCTCAGGCCATAATAAAGTAGCCAATTATAGTGAGAAGAATTCTTGCATATTTTGTGAAAAACATTCACGAAAATCAAGATTGCTTTGTTGCTCAGAAGATGCCTCTGAGTCAAAAGAATGATGAAATTAAGAAAAAGAAGGGTTGCTTCTTCTGCCTCAAAATTGAACACAGGGCCAAGCAATGCAAGACAAATGTACGACGTTTGATATGCTCGAAAAAACATTGGGGTGTCATGTGTCCGGATTTGTCCACCAATCAAAAGAGCAATGATGTTTGAAAAGAATAAAGAAGAGAAAACACAAAACGTATCACTTGCGAAGCACTAATTTCCTAGATGAAGTGTTTCTTCAAACACTATTAATTAATATAGACGCAAACAAAAAGCAGAAGACAGTAAGGGCACTTATCGATACAGGATCGCAAACGTTCATACATATTAAAGGAGACTGCTGTAGACATAGGGTGCCACGCAATTGGATCTGAATCTTTAATTCCATGCACTTTTTGGAGGAGTAACAACACAAGAGAAATTCACAAACGCTATGAAAGTGAACGTTAGAAGCCTAAGAGGTGATTTTTCTAGACGACTAATCTTGTTGGAACAGTCGAAGATTTGTGGACCAGTAGTCAGTTTACAGCCTGGACCATGGATAGAAGAACTAAGACAGAAGAATATCCATGCATCTGATGTAGGAAAAAGGAAAAAAAAGGATTTGAAAATAGAAATTCTTATTAGAGCTGATGTTGCAGGTGTTCTGTTAACGGGAAGAATTCAGAAATTAGAAAATGGCTGACTGCTGTGGAATCACTACTTGGATGGACAATCATGGGAAAGATAAAAGATAACGTTTCAGAAAGAAACTCCTTGTCCATGTCTTCAACCATAACGTCGATGTTGACTCACAGCAGTGACATAGAAAACTTGTGGAAGCTAGAAGCACTAGGAATTAGGGATGCCAAAGAAAGTAAAACTGACTCAGAGTTAGAAGAAGCAGTGTGACAAAAAGACTCTGAAAAGGGTGGATGATCGCTATGAAGTCAGTTTACCTCGGATCAACGATAAAGAAGCTTTACCAAGTAACAGAGAAGTTGCTGAAAAGCGATTGATTTCCACGACAAAGAAGGTCATGTTAAAGATAAATTTGAAACATACAATGCAGTGTTCTAAGAATGACTTGAATCTGGAGTAATAGAAGAAGTAACAGAAGAAGAGGAACGAGTTAACAATCATTATCTTCCCCACAGACCGGTCTTCAAAGATAACTGTACAACAGCAGTAAGGCCTGTATTTGACGCTTCGTGCAAGCAAAAAGATTTCCTGTCACTTAATGACTGTTTAGCAAAAGGTCAAAATTTAATTGAATTAATACCTAGATTGCTTCTTGAATTTAGGCAAGGAAAAATAGGGATTATCTCAGATATTAAAAGAGCTTAAGTTCAAAGATCTGATCGTGATTTCCTAAGATTCCTATGGTGGAAAAACTCGGAACAAAAGGAAATAAGAAAATTTCGCCATTGCAGAGTAGTCTTCGGACTAAAATGCAGTCCGTTTCTTTTAGAAGCAGTGATCAACTCTCATTTAGACCAATGTGAACCTTCTTTGAAGGAAGTGGCTACAAAATTGAAAAATTCCTTCTATGTTGACAACTGTGTCACTTCAGTGAATTCGAATGAAGAAGCAGAATACTTTATTGCAAAATCAACTCAGTTAATGGCAAGTGCTAACTTTGACTTAAGAGGGTGGGAGCAAACAGAACTGAACAGTGGAAAATCTACAATGAGCGAACCATTGAAAGTACTTGGTCTTCTGTGGGATAAATATGAAGATTCTTTGTTTTATGACATCCCTAATATCAACTTAATTGACCTCTCAGTGCCAAGACGAAACGTACTATCAGTTGTACAGAGTTTTTGACCCAATAGGTTTCACATGCCCTTTACACTCCTTCCAAAGTTATACTTGCAAAAGAGCTAGGAAACTAAATTGAGCTGGGATTCAGAGCTACCTGAAGATATTAAAAGAAAATTCTTGAAGTGGGTCAAAGAATTGCCCTTGTTATCCTCTGTAAAGATTCCCAGACTACTTTCATTGACAGAAGGACAATCTTTTAGTTTGCATACGTTTGCCGATGCTTCACAGGGATCTTATGCAAGTGCAGTATATTTGAGAAGTCAAATAAAGAAGTCAAAGTGACCCTAGTGCAAGCCAAAGCACGAGTGGCTCCCTTGAAAAAATAAGTATACCACGACTTGAATTGCTTGCTTGTCTTATTGGGGTGCGATTAGCATAATTTGTCAAGAAGAACCTTAAGATCGAAATTTCAAAGGAATATTACTGGACCGATTCGTCAACAGCACTGTTCTGGATAGAGAACGTAGAAGTTTGGAGCACTTTTGTGAATAACAGAGTTTCAGAAATTAGAATCCTATCGGAGTGTGAAAACTGGCATCATGTACCAAGTGCGGAAACCCAGCCGATATGCCATCAAGAGGATGTTCTGTGAAGAAACTCATTGAATCAAGATGCTGGGAGGACCCACATTGGTTGGCACTGCCGGAAGAAGAATGGCCTCGTTCTATCCCAATCGATAACAAAGAAGAGGTTAATACTGAAAAACGTAAAGCAGTTATAGTTTCGTTAAGCAATATTAGCGATAAGTCTTCACAATTCTTTGGCTATTTTTCAATGTACAAGAAAATACTTAGAATGATTGGGTGGATACACAGATTCATAGGAAACAGCGAAAGAGGACAGAAGAAAGAGAAGCAGAAGAGTTAAAAGTTTATGAATTGACAAGGGCTGAGAAATGTATCGTAAAGATTATTCAACATGATTCTTTTTCATCTGATGATATTAAGAAACTGATGTCAATAAGCGTGTTCAAAGATGGTGAAGGCATTTTACGTGTCAAGTCTAGGTTGACTGAAAGGAAAGACCATGAAAATTTTATTTATCCGATGTTACTTCCTAAGAATCATAAGATTGTGGAGAAATTGATAATTCATAAACATCTCTCTATATCTCATGCAGGAATTCACGTACTGATGTCAACACTTAGAGAGACGTTTCGGATCCTGAGAAGCAGAGCTACGATTCGAAAAGCTTTATATGCATGTGTCAGGTGCAGGAGACATGGAAGTAAACGACTACAGACTGTGCCTGCTACTCTACCAGAAATGAGAGTTAGAGATGCTCCGTATTTTCGAGATTGTCGGCGTTGATTTAGCTGGCCCATTAATTTTGAAGGATAAAAGAAAAGCTTGGATTTTACTTTTCATATGTGCTGTTTTCAGGGCGGTCCATTTGGAACTGATTTTGTCCCTTTCAACTCAAGGATTTTTGCTTGGTCTTAGAAGATTTATTGCCCGTAGAGGGAGGCCATCGATAATTTACAGCGATAAGAAAAGCAATTTTGTCGGATCCAGTAATCTCTTGAGATCGATTAATTGGAATACCATTGAGATAGAAGCCGCTACAAACAAGATCGATTGGAAGTTCAGTCCATCCACCGCACCATGCTGGGTTGGCTTTTGGGAAAGACTGGTTCAAATGATTAAGAAGCTTTTGCGTCGAGTGCTAGGCCAGTCACGTCTGAATTATGAAGAATTGATGAGTGGGCTGTGCGACTGCGAAGCAACTGTAAATGCCAGACCACTCACTTATGTGTCAGAGGACTTAGATGATCTGATGCTTTTGACACCTTCCTTGGTTTTAGGTGAAATTCCAGTCTTTGGAGTTCCTGACTTGGATCATCTTGATAAAGTTGATTTCAACAAGAGACTGAGACATTTACAAAATTTATGAGAGCTCTTGAGATAGAGATTTAGAAATGAATATTTCGGCCTGCTAGTGCAACTCGGTTGTAACAGCTTTAAATAGTATTAAAATCTTATAGTTTAAATAGTTTAAATAGATGAACATTAAGGTATTTGTGAATGGCAATATTTGAAACCAGACTCGAGTGCCACGTGCGACTCCGCATGAAGAATGTAATTATATTTTTTTAAATAAGTGAGATATACTGTTTTCTCTTCTTGTTTTGTATGTCGCAATTTTTTTAGTGTTAAATATTAAAGTTATTTTCTGTGTTTCCATCATTGGAGTTGCTTCACTTTCGCCAAATGTTAAAGAGGTATCACAGTCATTAATTATTTTGGAGGCACCGGCCGAGATCGAATAATCATGCGTATTTTTTATTTTATTAGTTTCATCACTGAGCGTAATATTAGTGATACCAGAATTATTACTTCCTGTTCATATAGAATTGCTTTATGTTATTAGTTCATCACTGAACGCAATATTAGTGATACCAGATTATTACTTCCTGTTAATAATAAATTGTCTTATTTATTACCGTATTTGATATTATATTTAATATTCATTTTAGTTGTCCAGACGGTTAGATATATATATGCTCTATGTTATTATTCTTATTTTAATCACAATTAATGTGGTACAGAGAATGAAATTCATATAATTTAAATATTTCATTTTTGAGGTATACGTACTTAACAAAGTGCATTTAATTTCGTGATTCCTGACTGCATTATTAATTAAACTAAAGTAATTGAATTGAGCTATTTTGAGGAAATATAAAGAACACAGTGTTCGTTAATTTTAAACATAAAAAAAATGTCCTACTTGGGAGGAGCTCGTAAGGAAGATTTGCAAAATCTCGCGGCTGAACTGGGAGTTCATGTGACTGCAGATATGAAAATAGTCGATTTAAAACAGAAAATTGTTGAAAGTAGTGATTATGATGAAGTATTCGTCAAAGGAGTCTTAGACACAATAATAGAAGAACGGAAAGAGAGGGAGAAAAGAGAAAAAGAGAGAAAGGAAAGAGAAGAACGGAAAGAGAAAGAGGAAAGGGAAAGAGAAGAACGGAAAGAGAGGGGAGGAAAGAGAAGAAGTAGGAGACAGGAAGAAGCAGAAGAGCGGAGAAGGAACGAACAGTATGAATTAGAGAGATTAAGACTTGAAGCAGAGACAAAGTCTCAAAATACCGGGCAGATCCGGCCGAAAACGGAGCTGCGTCACCTTATGCAGAAATTCGATGACAAGAAAGGAGATATCAGTCTATATTTGCTATTGTTTGAAAGGCAAGCAGAATGGGCTAAAATTGATAAAGAAGAATTTGTATCTCATTTACTAGGACTACTTCCTTACGAAGTAATCCAGTTAATAGCTAGAGTACCCTCCGATAAAGCTAAAAACTATGAACACGTGAAAAATTTATTGTTAAGACGGTTTAAACTAAGCCCGGAAAAGTTTAGGCAGAAATTTATGAAACATCAAAAAAGCACCGAATCCACATGGGTGGATTTCAATTATGAAATAGAAAATTATTGCAAAGAATGGGTGACTGGTCTAGGAGTTAAGACTTTTGATCAGTTGCTAGATTTGATGGTGCTTGACCAACTTAAACGTCGAGTTCCTCCTGAAATTCGAGATCATTTTCTTGATGACTGGGTAGAGATGATTTCATCGAAAAAATTAGCTGAAAAACTTGATGCCTATGAAAACGTTTGCGGAAACTTTCAAAAGAGGCCTGTAGTGGATCGGCAGAAAGAAAGATACAATGCACTAACTCAAGGTAAATTGAGTTCAGATAATAAAAATAAAACTGAAAAAAAAATGTCATCAGGATTTAATTCACAAAGCTGGTTTCATAGACCTAGAAGTCCACGTCCAGATGATAAATATGAAAAACGAAAAACGCCACAATGCTATCAGTGTGGGTCCTATCAACATTTAAGACCCCAATGTCCAAAAACTTAAGAATAGTACTGAATCTCCTGCTAATCTTAACAGAATTAGTGCAAAACCAGAGGATAAATTTCTATTACCTTATACTAGTATGGGTTACGTAAATGGTCATAAAATTCCTATATTAAGGGATTCAGGTGCTAGTATTGATATAGTTTTGTCGCAAAACAATCATGCCCAGAAATGCTGACAGGTGAAAATGTGTGGGTGCAACAGCCATTAGATTTGAATCCAACCTGTTTACCATTGGCTGAGATCGAACTAAATTGCGATCTTGGGCGAGTAATAACTAAGGCTGCCATTATTAGAGATGAACTCGACAAAGGAAGGTATTATTAGGCAATCGAACTTTTGCAACTGTTGAATAAACACGAAAGGAACCTGATAATCATCCTCACCAGGTTAATGCCGTCTCTACTAGAGTTCAAGGAAAGGAAAAGAAAAATAGCTGAAGAGAAGATCTTGGAACCGATGAAAGAAGAAAATAAAGCATCCAGAGATATCTTTGAAGAAGTTAAATCACCGGAATTAAACGTGGAAGATTTTAACGAAAATTTGAAAAACGATAAAGAAATTAATATTGAGAATCATTTTGCAATGCAGCGTTATCATCATCTTTCGGCTTTTGATTTAATATCAAAGCAGCTGCTAATAGACGAAGAAAGCAATCGTCGAAAGCAAATGACAATTGAATATTATCCGAAACGCACAAATGAACTGAGGAAAGGCTTTGTTGTGAATTATAGCCGAGGAACTGATCCAACATGCACCGCCTGCGATCTAGGCACCGCCAAAAAAAAAAAAAAAAAAAAGGGGAAGACTAATTTGAACACTGTCCATTTTTTTCCTATTTAAATGTGGTGTAAAATTATTTGTTTAAACTGAAAAATTTTGGCCTGAAGTTTGGAAACTTATCAGAGAAGTTACCTTTTCTCTTTAAGCAAATGAGCAAGCCGAGCTTATTAAACTGTCAAATTTTACAGAACTTTTCCCTTCGGAAAAAAAAGTCTCTCCGTTGGGGGAGAGTTGTAATGTAACAGCTTTAAATAGTATTAAAATCTTATAGTTTAAATAATTTAAATAGATGAACATTAAGGTATTTGTGAATGACAATATTTGAAACCAGACTCGAGTGCCACGTGCGACTCTTGCATGAAGAATGTAATTTATTTTTAAATGTGAGAATATGTTTTCTCTTCTTGTTTGTATGTCGCCATTTTTTTTAGTGTTAAATAAAAGTTATTGCTGTGTTCCATCATTGGAGTTGTTTCATTTCGCCAAAGAAGTATCACACCATCTACAGTGCCGATTTCTCGACAGATAAAAATCGGGGATATAGTTCATATCGAATGTGATGACAAACGCAAGGTGTTGTGGCCTCTAGCAAAAGTAATTGAACTATATCCCGGAAAAAACGGCAACATTCGAGTAGTTCGTGTCAAAACCATGTCTGGAGAATTAATTCGAGCAATCCAGAGAATATTCCCTCTCGAGATACCTTCATCTTTGGAGTCAGATGAGGCAAATGAAACTGAGACGCAGGGTGAAGACAGTTTAGTCTCAAAATTACCAAAGAATAATTCAGCTGCAGATAATCAAAGGACATTAAGACTGTCGTGACTAGAAGTGGACGATAAATCAAAATTCCATTTGGATTTCTAACCTGAACACTACTTGAGTTATTTTAGAGTAGAAATTCAGGAACTTATTTTTTTTTCTTTTGTTTATTATTTAGCCTTAATATTTGTGTGAACAGTATTTTTATTATATTTTGTTTTGATTTATTAAGTATATGTCATCAATCAAAAGGTGGGAGTATTGTTAGAAGCCAGCCTCAGTTGTTATTTTTCTTGTCATAGTTTGTCACTGTAAGAATGGCAACCATCTGATTTTTGTTGTAGTTTGCTGTAGTTCTACGGATTTTGAAAATAAATATGACGCTTTGGAATTTTATATATAAAGTTATTTTATTTTAAGTTTATTAGGAGAAAGGAGAACGGTTAGTTCTTGCAAATCTCGAACAATCTGCACTCATCACGGTCAAGGTAGGCAAATTTTGTTCTGTTGATTGAACTGTGTATTATTCTGTTATATTAAGCGGCTCTTGTTTTATCATCGTAAATTTATCTATAAATTTTGCGTAACTTTGACTCTTGTTTACTAACAATTTGCGTCAGCCATATTGTCATTTTGCACGCAACAACAACTCGTCCTTGAGGAAGGTCGAGGTAATTCACAATTCAGTAGCCCCTAGTAACAAGCCCTTGGTTTCCTTTGCTGTCTAACAATCTTTCAATAATATTTGAGTGCTATTATATATTCGTATGATTCTTAGTATGTTCAAATTTTAAATTTCTGCGTTCTTGTTAATTAATATTTTGTACTAATTGATTTAATTGCATCCCTCTTATTTTTCATTGTATTTAATGTTTTGATACACGTTTTATATGTTAGTTCCCTTAATGTTAATTCAATGGACTGGTCCCAAATGTTCATATACAAAAAATTATGCTACAGTTCAGGTTGTTTCTTCTATATATGTAAAAAGTCAGTAACGGAAGATTTGTCGAACAATTTGTTACAATTCAAAATTTTTCATTTAAAAAAAAAAAAAAAAAAAAAAGCTGTTTTTTCCGGTTCTTTTCTGCATAACCATAATTGTTTTTGCTATTGGCCCCATGCTTTAGTGTTTACTTTCTCTGCCTGTAATACATATTCACTGCAAGGACAGTGTGAGTACGGGAAGCCTGTTTTACAGACCACCTTTTGAGCATAGTCTACTAGCGTTTTCTTTAGAATATCCTAGCATTTTTGCCATAGCTTTTTGTGACTGTTAAATTACTATATGTGTTTTGGCCTCCTCGGTGATTGCGGTGATTTGTGCCCAGAGGGCGCACCGCACAAAAAGTTAGTTGCGTTACAGAACGTAAGGGAAGCGGACACCCCCAAAATGTCGGGCGTATTACCGCTAATTGAGGTAATTGCATTCGTAT